GTAAGGTTGCTTTGCTAAGATAATTTTAAAAGTGTAAGAATTCTCGACTATGCGACGTCACAACTCCTTAAGCTCTTTGAATCAAGTCAGTTTTACAAAAAATGAGATATACGGCTGCGACTGATCATTTATTCCTCTAATTAAACATGAACTATGGTCGATTAAGATTCTATGATGAGTAGAACTTGTCCAGGTTACTTTTGTTAATATGTATTCAAAATGAAAATCATTTTTAATGATAATCATAGGAAATCTTCTTTCAGAAAAGGGTCAGCGAATCCATCGGATGAGCGTTACTTGTTTTTATAACATTGTTCAAGTTCATCTCCGCTTATTTTATGTGACCCATATTTCTTTTTTCTATAAGAAACAAGGTAGTTGTTTAACTGTATTAATACTGTTATTTTCACTTTCTTCGATTGTAGTGCTCGAAGAATTAGTATTGGTTTTTTAATACCATCGATAAATAAATCTTCTATAATCTTTCTAATACGTTTATCAATATCACGAGTTTCATCTTGATGACGTTGATGTTCAACTACCGTTTTATAAATAATTACTTTATCAATGTCTGCATGGTATAACAGATATATACCTGTAGTACATTGGAGACCGTGACGTTTTGCTTTTTTACATCTGTAATATACTCTTCTTCCGTCTTCTATATAATTCGTGTAATACTTCAAATACTGCTTTTCAATTGATATTTCTGCTTCTCTATCATTATCAAGCACAGCTTTTTTTGTGTAAACTTCTGAAATCTTTTTCGGTTATTTTCGTATAAGTTCACTTGCTCATTGATCTTCGAATAGCTCTTCTTTTGATACATCACTTTCATATTGGTCAATTTGCGTGAATTCCATTTGAAAAATCATGTGAAGTATTATTATGAGGCATAATAATGGTAGGTCGATAATATCCACCTGGATTTGATGAAATACTTAGAAGAATAAAATTGTATTCCACAAATGCTGATTCAATTAAATGAGCATCACAAAATAGAAAGAATAATGCAATAAAATGAATAAACATCATTAATTTAACTTTTTATTGTTAAAATCTTTTATTCTCTAAATAATAATTATATGGATATAATACAAAAAACATTTATTTGACAAGAAAAATATGACTACGATAATTGAAAGTCTATACGTCGCATAAGTAACCTATTTGATTTTTATCCGATCATACGTTTTTAATAAAAAAAATTAATGAAATATATTTCTCGTATTTTATTTATCTCCAAGTCTAAGTTATGTTTTAAAAAAGACTTAGAACTCATCAATTTCCATATTATAAAATATTTAAATTATACCATTCGTTATTTTTTCAGTTTTAAGATTTTAAATGAACGATTTATAAAACTAGCATTCCTGTAGTTAAATTGAATAAATTTTGTTGAATTTCTTTTACAGATGTGATTTTTAATGGAGAAAAATAACTGTTAGACAAAGCACATGCTAGATTAATATGAGTCATATTGAGTTCTTGAATTAGTATGAAAGAAAAAATTATAAATAACATCGAATATTTTTGTGTACGTTATTATCTTCAATGCCCGAGGTGTATACATAGAAAGAAAAAAAACAAAAATCTATTCGTAATTTTATGCTATCGACAGAAGGAAAAGCTTCATAAATGTACGAGGTCTGACATTCATTCACGACTGATGAAAAACGAATACTTATTAAAAATTTTATCTAAAGATATACGTAGCAGTAAATACTTCCTCACGAAATATATTTAATTTTCAATTTGACAAATGTTTCATATATTGTATTTCACTGAGTGATGGGGAACAAGTAGATGAATATTTTTTTTGTTATACACAATAACAAAATGGCAAATAAGTGTTTTTATAATTTTTTGCTTTTTTAAATATAATAAATAATGTTCGTATTTTAGATTTAAAAGTAAAACGAGGAGTTTTTCATAAACAAATCTACCGCTTCTCCAGATTTAAAAAATGAATTTAATAAAAAAATGCTTTAAAAAGCCGAAAATAAAAGAAAATTTATCGAGACATAGTCCACCAGAACTAAGTTCGCAACATTCACAGTCAACAGATGAAAGAAAAAATTTACCAACACGTAGTCCACCAAAAATAACCTGGCAACATTCATGGTCAACAGATGAAACAAAAAATGGATTAGAAAATTCTCACTTTCAAATTATTCCTACTGAAGTCATATTACACATATTTAAATATTTGTCTGTACATGATTTAGGGAATGTCTCATTGACTTGCCGTTCATTTAAAATGATTGTTGATCAAGATGAAGTATGGAAACTAAAATGTAATTGTAAGTATATTTATTTTATGTCTTTAATTTCTATTAAATTCTTTTAATGTTAATAGCATCAACAAAATTACATTCAAAATCTTATAAAGAAATCTATATAGATTGGATGTATGAAAAATATTTACGCAATATAGAATTAGAAGAAGTTGAAGCTAACTATCGTAAAGAACGCTCAAACATTTCCTGTGGAATGCACTGGAATCGATGTGATTATTTTGTTCGACCAGAAGACAAACATCCTTTTGAATCTATTGGCGGATTCAGAAAGCATCCACATGAATCGAAAGATATGTAAGATCTGAGTCTTAACAGTTGATACACAATATATCGTATGTAAAAATATTTATGCCATAGTTTCTCTCTATGATCAACTAACTTGTATAATTATAAGTATAGAAAAAAATTATTCAATATAATAGAGAGTAATTTACATAGCGAACATTTTTCATTGAATAAGTTTATGAGCACTCACATGCCTCCAGCATTCTCTGTTATCTAGATATTCTTATTATCGACTAAACTGACTTATGTTATCCAGACTCACATTAAATTTCTAGAAAATGATGAAAAACGAAAGTTCATCATTATCATCGATCTTTTTTTCTATATTTTGTTTCTATTGTTTAGGACAATTGACTTATCAGTTGATGTCGATAAAACAGCTCATGAACTTATATCATTATTAAAAAAAGCATCATATTTTCAGCCTCAATGGAGACAATCATCGATTATCAAACAAATGATGACAAGATATTATCGATTTATGCAACTCAAAGCTTCATCACCAAATAATATTCTATTGATTCCAACACTAGATATTGAAATCATTTGGCAAACACATCTTCTACGACCACAAATGTATCGAGATGATTGTATGAGATTATTTCATCGCATTATTGATCATTCTTTATTAGCAAATGAAATGGAACAATTTCTAAAAGAACAAGCATTTATTGATACTTGTAAACTATATGAAGAACGATTTGGAGAACAATATTGTCCATTACCCGAACAAAATGATAATGAACCCGTCGCTGCAAAATACGTTTATTCCGCGTTTGGATCATTAAAATGTGTTATTCCAATATATTCATATTGGGATGAAACAAATTTTGATTTTTCATCAGTATCATCAACTAATCATGATAATAATCCATTTTCATTCACTGAAGCTGATATTATTCTTGATGGTAATTGGCTTGATTTATGTACAAAATATATGAAAGAAATGATATCAACAGTACCTGTTCGTGGTTATTATCCATATGATGATGACATTGATCTCAGTAAAGTATCAATAACAAGACTAAAGAAATCTTATAAACGATTTTTATATATGGCAACAAAATATCCACCATCAAATGGATATAGTTTTATACATCCAACATATGCGGTAAGATCTTTTACATGATGTATAGATATGAGAGAGCAGCAGAACTTTATTTCTTTGAATAGATTGATATAATTTGGCATTCACATATGCAAGAACCATTAAAATATGCATCTGACTGTATTCGTCTTGTTGACTATATAATTGATCATGCACCATGGCCATCGGTTGATACAAATAAAATGAAACGTTCTTGTGATGATACAATGAATGCTTCGAAAAAGGAATTTGAAAATGATATGCGAACAGATCATTTATACAATACTAAAGGATTTCGGTTATGATTACTGGGATGATTATTAATATATATGTCGTACTAACTAACACACTGAAGTATTTTTTGTTGTAAATATTTTATGATTAAATAAAATTGATTGAAAGGAATCAAAGAGTGTCTTATTCAAGAGAAACATCTCCAGAAATAAAATATCGGGTAATGCTAATAATACTTAGAATATTCGATTTACATTATTTATGTCTGAGAAGTGACGTAGGGTGTGGATGTGTGTGTGAATGAGGGTGTAGTTCTCTTGAATTCATCACTCACACCCACCCACCCAAACAAGGCAGAATTCTTTCCTATCAAAATTAATGTGAATCCATTGTGATATTTCAGAAAGTAGTTTCTTGGGCTCATCATCGAAAAAAGTCCTAATTAATTTTTTTTTATATTTTAAAAATAAAGTATATCTTAAAACACATTTAATATTCACATTTACATTCATTACTTCGAGCCTCAAATATTTCTTCATCTAATCGGTAACAGAAATAGAAAAAACTTAATAATAATCTTTTTAAAAATACAAAAAAAACAAAGGAAAAATATTCAACCTAATGAGCACTTTTTTATATCATTGATTGAAGTATAAAATTAATTACTACCCTTGTATTTTATAAAAAAAAGTAGTTTGCATGAATTATTTCATAGGTGAATCAGTTATTATTTAAAAATATGAATCTAACTTCCTCCATTTCATCAATCGTTTCTCATACAAATTCGACTGGAACTGAATCATGGTTTATTCCTGTTGATATTCTTATGATTATATGTACTATCTTAGTTATTATACTTGCTACTCTTTTTGTATTGATTATTATTTTCGATAAAACATGCCATACAATTTCAATGATGTTAATTTCTAATTCATGTTTAACTGCAATTGTTTTAGGATGCATTTCATTTAGTTTAAGCTTATTCACATTAGAAAATGATATTAAACAAATTTATTATGAAGATTCATTCTGTGCTTTTCGAGCTTATATGAATTATGCATTATCTGCTGCATTTATGTTTTCATTTTTATTACAAGCATTCTATCGATATATTGTTGTAGTTTATCGTACTCATCTATTTTTGCAATCAATTAAACTTCAACTTTTACTTATTTCTTTAACATGGATATTTTCTTTTACATATCCATTGGTAATAATATTTACCGATAGAATCATCTATAATATTGACAATCAAATATGTCAATTACCTCTTCGATTATCGTTTTCATTAATTTTTGGAGCATTTTGTATTTATATAATTCCCGTATCGATGACTATGTTCATATATATTAAATTAATTCTCTATGTAAAAGAATTACGTCATCATATGATTATTGTTAATACATTAAGTCGTGCACAACGAGAATTAAAAATGGTTCAACGTATAGTGACACTTATAAATATAATCATGACAATTGGTATTCCGTACGGAATCTTTATTTTCATATCATTTTTCACTACTCCACCAAAATATCATTTTAGAATTGCTTTTGTATTCGTTGATGCATCATTATTATCAGTAATGATTGTTTTACTTCAATTTACTGATCCATTGAGAAAGTCTATAATGAAGAGACTATCAATGCGACCAAATGCCATAGCACCAGGAAGACCTTATTGACGAAAATATAAATATTTCAGACATTGAGTTCATCTAATTTTAGAATAAATTAACTTAATTAAAAATAGAAAATAAAGTACTCAGAATGATATAAATCTATTTTAGAATAACAAACAACAGAAAAATGTTCAAATTTCATCTTTGTCCTACAGTTGGTACCACTGTTTCTCGCCGAAAGTTTATTTTTCTCATTACAAATGATTTTAATGGATCTGTAAACTGAAATAAAGCAATCATAATAAATATTAATGATGGATTCGTAAATATAGCAGATATTCGATAATAATATGTGGGTGGCTGAGTAAAAAATGACATAAATAGAAATGATGTGTAAGGTAAACCAAGTATAACTAATATCGCAGTGATTGTAACTATACGACGAACCATTTTCAATTCTCTTCGTATACGTGGTAAATTATTCCTAGTTGTTAGCGCCTGTTTACTGATCTCTTTTACATATCGAACTAATTTTAAATAAATTATTTGTATTGCCATTACAGGACCAAGATAACCATTGAATATAACAAAAAGAAGTGAAAAAGAAAGATGTAATGGAATTTGACATAATTGATTACTAGAATTATAAGTAATATCACCTGTAAATATAAACGCGAATGGGTATATATAAGAGAACATCCATGTTACAACGACAAGTAACATTTGAATTCGTTTTGACTGCCAAAATAAATTAATTGGATAAAAAACTATTAAATATCGATAGATTGCTTGTAATAAAAACGAATAATTCATTGCTGTACATGAAGCATAACTTAAATAACCACGAATTATACAAAATAAATCATAATAATAACGTTGTTTGATATCATTTTCTAATGAAAATATAGTCATCATGAGTAAAACAGTTGCAAATAGAATTTGTGTTAAACTTGAATTCGCAACTAACATCATTGGTAATGTATGACATGTTGTATCAAAAATGATAATCAAGAGAGAACAGATACCAAGTCCAATAGCTATAATAAGACTGATAATCATAATTATATCGTGTGGAATAAACCATGTTTCAAAGTCTATTATTAAGGAGTTATTCATTAACACTAGTGATTCTGTAGAAACAGATGAATTCATTTGTTAGAAAAGAAAGAAGAATATCATAAGATAAATATGTGATAACTAGTGTGGAATAAATCAACGTAAGAGAAAGCATGTTATTATAATCAGATTTTTTTTTCTTTTTCTTCTTTGAAAATTGTGAACCAAAAATATCTTTAATTAAAAATGTCATTGATGTGTAAACTAAAGAGACTTTTCAATAGGAGGTCTAAATATATTATTATCAACAAGAATAGCATAAACACTTACATAATATGCAGGAAATTTCAATATGGTTTGAATTAACCAAGTTGATCCTCATTCTGAGTCTTAGATGTTCGATATTTACTCAATCAAAACTATTTGATGAGATATTTTAGAAAACTTGAAATGTGTTCTTTTATGCTTGGTAAACTCCATCTTCCCTTCAAAATAGTTTAAATCTGGGTGTGGTTCAATTATGAGATAATAGATACCAGTACCCACACCCACCCTTTTTTGCTTTATGTCCAATACAAGACAGACGATGTTTTTCTCCATGATGGCTTGGTAAGAGAGAAACAACAGCAATATATTTCCTTACGTTCTTCATCAATCCCATGTCAGTACACAGAAGAAAAAAGATGGTTGTAAATTATTGTGATCGAAAAAGAATAGAAACTAGAGACGACTCATATTGACTTTAGCTTTCCATCAATCTGTCATTCGAACCTAATTGTAAAGTACGTAATTAAATTTTTAGAAGGATCGAGCTATAACGATTGTACCAATAAATAGAGAATTTTATTTTCTATCAAAATGTGCTATTGATTTTCTCAAACAGACAATTACGTAGTAGATGCCAATAGCATACATCGTTAAATGAATAGAATCTTTTCTACATATTGTTATTTTGTCCTCAATATCTAAATGAACGATTTGTTCTAATAATTTTTTTAATGTATTACATCACATATAGGGCAAAGGAAACATTTTTGAACAAATAGATGACATCAATTTTAGCAGTTTAGCCAGGAATATTTA